ACACACACACACACACGCATGCATGCACAATAAGCAAAACATCTACTAAACCATCTTCACACACATACACACATACACACACACACACACACACACATACATATATATATACACACACACACACATACACACAAATACACACACACACACACACACACACACACACACACACGCATGGCTTAGAATTACTCCTGAAATTAGCGATTAAGAAAAAAAATATTTTAATATTGAACACAAAAAGAGGGCTCGGCCATCCCCCTGATGACCTTATGGGCGCCAGGTAGCCCAATCGGCGGAGCACTTGACTTCCAATCCTGAGAAGCTGAGTTTGAACCTAGTTTAATCAATGCAATGGTGGTGAGGGTGACACCTTAAAGATCCTTCTTGCCCTGACGACGATGTCCCAGTATTCTATTTGTGGGTAAAATTACACTGCACTCAATAGCACCAAGAGAACCCGGAAATTTTGATGCATATCATTTATTTGATTTAAACGTTAAATTGTAGATGACCCGCAAGTACTATTCTTTTTCATTTTTTAATCAGTAGTTTATTTACCCATTCTTAATTGGTCATATTGAGTGATTATACACTGTGTTAAGACCAATAAGTTATGGAACTACTTCCCACTAATTAAAGAACCTATGATCGAATTGGAAATTCAATTTTTTTTTTAAAGAGCAAAAAACCCCCCCAAAAAACATCACAGACGAGCGGCGTCTGTAATGAAGCGGTAAGGCACTTCGCTGTCGCACACAGGAGATCCAAGTTCGATTCCCAAGAGGGAGAATTTTTATCGAGTTCCTCGGTATTCCTGCTGGGATGTTATATCCCTCTCAGTCCAGGTTGGCACGAGCAAGGTCAGAAGCCCGTTTTCTAAATGGCCTAAATCGTGTCGATGGGGACGCAAAAATACTTACACTAAAAAGAAACTTTTCTTTTTCGGTGTTTAATGGTGCTCACAACTGCATAAGGTCATAGGAGCGCTCGGAATACATTTAACATTTTCAGTTGGTACGAAATTTTGAATTCTGCCCGGGTGGCGGCCGAAGCCTACCCCTATCGATTTTAGACCAGGAAAGGATCTTTAGCGGGCGTAATTTGAACGCAGGACTTCAGACATTGTTTACCCTTGTCCGAGAAGGCTAGGTGTAGATCTTTCCTACCATAAGATCAGGGGTGTGGCTAAAAGACAGCAGTAAGGAGGAGCCAAGGAGTAGCAGTAAAAAGGCTGAAAAGGAGTCAGGAGCCCAGAAGAGGGAGCAAAGGAGGTGAGGGGGTGGGGGCAGAAAGTGGAGACGAAAGCATTGTTAGAGAGCAGGGAAGGGTGTGAAAAGAGAAAATGTTAGAGAAGAAAATTTTCCGTCGTTATCTGGATTCAAAACCTACAACCTGTTGAATGAGAGACGAACACCTTAACCTTTAGGCTACGAGAGCCCCCAAACAAACTCTGATGAGGCTGTTGCCTTTGAAATTACCTTAAACATATTAGGCAACTCCACTAAATCTACCATTAAGAATTGTTCCTTACGTTCTCTATTGTTTAAAATCCTCGGAGCGCTCTGACACCAGAATTTTAAAACTTCTAATTAAACATCACTTTTTACAAGTCTGGCAAAACTATCATTCTCTCCTGACTTCCCATTCATTTCGGCATTGATGACAACGAAACTATTGATCACTTTGGCAAAGAATCTTTGAGACTCTCTGATAAAGAAAACAATTTTTTTTAAATTCACTTTCTGACTTGAAAAGCAAAATTACAAAACGTATCCTATCAACCTGGACTAAAATTTGGGACCAACAGTACAAAGACAATGCCCACAACATAGGACCGAAGTTGACTCCCAGGAAACCAGTGCCTCGTTTACGAAGGAAATAAAAAGTAGATCTAATACTCGTTTAAAAATTGGGCGCGTGCATGCCACGCAAAAGCAAGTTCTGCAAGAGGTAGAGGCTGCTTCTTTATGTATGTCTTTGTTTGTATTTATCTAAACAGTGAGCATGGTTTTGGTGGGTGTGTGTGTG